TAGATGTAGCTTGTTCTTAACATAACTAGTATTTGTAATAATAACATAGGCTTAGACGGTATTGTTCAACGTATTAAGTATTAAATAAGACTACATGTAACTCTGGGACTACTACCATAGCAACAATGACTCCATGTAGTATAATTTACAGCGATGTAATTTCCCTATCATGGGATATAAGTTGTAATTCAAGTATCGACGTATAAAAACCACTAACAACAATAGTTAATAATAGAAATAGAAATCATTCCATCATTGTTTATATCATTTGAACACATGCAATAAATATGCAGATTTGACGTGACCGCCAGGAAGTGTGTTTCGTAAGTATAGTGTTCTTTCCCCCCAACTAACTTTATGAATGAATTCAAAAACCATGATGCATTTAGTAACAATACGTATACAATTCTATGATACTTTGTTGCGGTTTTATTTACTTCTGCCAGCACGCCCGGAAAGACCATTTTGTTAAAGTAGCTGTATTAGCAAGGGATCGTCGCGTTTAAAAGAAACCCAATCAAAAGGCAATTACTTGTTAAATTGGGGAGTTATCATGTGCGAGCGATACGATTGGGTAATCATTTGTTTCCAGCAGAGTTGGTAATCCATACTAAATTACCGAATGTTATTACAAAGACAGAGTTCTATTTTTTTTTATATATATGAATTTTGGAAAGCACTTTGTCAGATTGTTGCCTAAGTACTTCAAAGAAGTGACGGGGAAACATTTTAGTGTAGAATGTCGAGACGATGTTTTGAAGATTAATATAGTAAATTGTACAACACTGACTGTATATGTGGTCGTCTACACCATGCTTCACTACTGACAGTCACTGTTCTAATACACACACCTATGAATATAGCATACACACTGTTTTAGCGCGTTTACATTCAAGAAGCGCTTCCTCTGATTGAACCGCCAATCATTATTCAGTAGCAACCCATCAACCTTTCAGAATTCGATGCTGGCCGCAGGTGTTTCATGACAATATATATTTGTATTTATATATCAAACAGATGACGTGCTTTAGGAATGAAATCAATAAATAGATTATTATCTTTACCACTCTGCGGAGGTACACGCGATGGTGAAATATGAATACTACGTGTAAACACAGGTAATGAATATTTATGAGTTCTCGCATATTTATATCTTAGTAGGCACATAAATCATTCCGAGCAGAGATATGGGATTGTACTAAGTCTCAAATCTGTAATTATTGTGTCGTGATTGTAATGAATCGGGTCTCACATTCCGGCATTTATAGGCGAAACACGTTATGCGTCTACCATGATAATATGAGTTAAATTATTGAAATTGTAATTATATATTGCAGGACAAGCTCGGTATTAATTACGTTATTATAGCTGCGTGCTATACATATATTATTGTTTATATAAGTATTGAACTTAGTTGTATTTGATTTCGAGAATGAAAACAAAAAACATTATGATGATTGAAATGATCAAGAACTCGCGAATAGTGCAAGCACTGCATTTCACGAAGATTTTTTTTTTATATTCTGTTTGTAGTCGGCCATTACCTTATATATTGCAATCCGCAATGATACAATAAACTAAATGAGAATCCATTCACTGTATCAAATTGAATGTATTATAGTCTCAATTCAGTATTTGAGAAACAATGAACTGGAAATCGACATCGAGATTATGATAATCAAAACGTTGTGAACCAAATTCACAATTACATAATAGGCCATTTTCCGGTCACTGCGAGAATCACGCGTTGTGCGTGAAATCGAACGTAAAAACAGGACAAACAAAGGTCATAGCGTCGTAGTGGCGTCAAATGAAGCATCGCGTTGGACTCGACAAACGCGAAAATATTTTGGGGGGCATTTCCATGCTGAATAATGTGCTGTACACATTTGATGATAGACATTTTCGATTAAGTGAGGGTATTCGAAAGCAATATCTTCTGTCGAAGATCGGCCGGTCGGTGTGAGCTACGAAATAAAGAAAGTCGAGTTCAAAATCAACTCGTTCGATTTTTGCGGCAGACGTTCGACGCGCGTCTTACATGCAACTCGCGAGATCTCGCAGTTGAACGAAAAACACCTATTGCGCGTGTGGGGCTGTAACTAGGACAACGTTTGATAGCTAATGTTTATAATGCTGTTATGCATTTATTTTTTTCTGTTAGTTTGCTTATTGTCACAAATTCACTAGGAATTTAATCAATGGAAGCGTTTTCAAGCAATTTGGATGTTGATTAGCATAGTACCAAATGTTATTTTAATTTTAAAGTGGATAACATTCGTGACATTTGCATGCTTTTATCGACCAGCCCAGGGTGAAAGTGACATTACGATTTTGAATGAATTAAAACACGATATATAGATATAGGTCACCTTGCTCACACGGTTAGTGAAACTCATCCTGCATCACTGGTATTTAATAATTCGCTAAAATTATGAATATTCAGATACGGAACTTGACATCGAGATACTCAGAAATACTTAAACACCACGTCATGTCGTACTGCATTCTGGGAAAGTTATTTTCATTGAAACAACGATAGTATAGCTAAAATAAAAATCCACACCGTGCTCTCACATTATATGTCTTTTGCCATAATACGTCGATTATTACTTAGAACTTAGATACATTCGCAACTTTCTTGAAATTCGAGCAAAATAACACATCAGTTGTCAACCGGAGATAACCACACATAACAGGGTGCTAAGATTGTTGTTTTTTTTAATCGCAAAAAAAAAAGAATTTACGACGCTGACATTATCGCAGGATCTATGCTGCGAATACAATTTTCAACATTTGAAAGCCGTCAACCTCAGCCCCGTCGTCTGTGTACGGTTACAGCAATACACCACAAAGTGCACGGACATATAATTACTAAGATGTATTTAAAGTTACTTGATGACAGCAAGAGCATCGCGACCTTTAGTAATTGTTAAATACTACGTACAAGTGCATGTCATATTCGAAGACTAAATTAATTAATAAATTAAACTGTAACAATATGCATGTTATAGAATGCTAATATAACGTTTTAATGCACGTTTGGCATGACTTTTCTGATTTTTTTAATATTTTCTTATACTTCATTCAGCTCCCGAATTGTGCACATTAACTCCTTAGACGCACCAGTCACGGCAGACACGTATTGGTGCGTTGCTTGAAAGATATTACAATTATACAATCATGACAGTGGCATGACGGTGATGATGTGTGCAAATGTTCCTTATTTATGTCGGCTTCACGGTGTTTTTATTAATATTTAAAAACTTTAATTTGATTGTCAAAACTACAAAATTACAGTCACTTACGAATTGCTTGTCTGTAATATACGTAGCAGCTCATGAGGAAGTATAATCTTCAAGACTTCCGTCATTGAACGCTAAGATTTCCCAGAAGGCTAATGAACAACCCACATATAACAACATACAAAATGATATGGATTTCAAGGGATTGTAACCGCCCGTACTTGAAAGGAAACACTAAAGTTGTGCGTCTCTCCCTTGTGTCTTCGTCTAAATTATCAGTTTTGTTAGTATGATCTTTTTCACATTTGTCTCAGTTTTTGTTCTGCTTACAGCGTTGTGCACTAGTTATTGGATACGAACTATATTGTAGAGACGCTCACTCGAATACTGATAACTACGTCACTTGAATATAATTATACGTTTATTAGTGACAGGTCCATTACATATGTCCATTTCATTTTCCACAAGGTAATGCAAATGTCGCAGAATAATATTTTGTTTAAACAAATCTGCTTATGTTAGTTATAGATACATATATATATATATATTTGTTTGCAAGATTTTTGTTAATGGACAGACACCAAATGTAATGGTCCTCATTAATTTTCATGTTAGATCGGTGACTTATCTTGCTATAGATTTTAACTCGGGCATACCACTTCGATTGAACTCCGATACGAGTTTGGATTCGGATTATCTGGGCATTCTAGTATATTTTTTTCACTAACGAAATCATTTTCTTTTGATGGTCGTGGATTCACTGACTTGGTGGAAACTTCGTTACAAATGAGTTCGACTAACATATTCCTAAAACACCTTAACTACACAGCTCTCGACTGGGGTTATTGTATTGTTCTTACCTGTATAAAAGTATGAATAATAGTCTTAATAATACTAAACTTGAAATAAATCTTGTTAGTACTGGAAATAAACGAGCAACATTATCACATTCGGTGCAATAGAGATTATAACAATTCGAAAGGTCACTCTCCCATTCCACCGAATATTACTAACAGGGAAAAGCTTTGAAACTGGCTTTCAAAATAGACAATTTGCGGATTAATGGATCGGTAGAATTATTTAGTGGCGGTAATTGTATGCTTATAACTGCTTAGTAAAGTGATTTCCCTTGTATAACAGACAGTGTGGGAAATCATTACCTGTAATTCAACCGCGTAAGCTTGTCAGGTGTGTTTCGCTGCGAAAAACTGAATTATACCTCGATTTTCTCACACTTATTTTAAAAATCAAGATCATACGCTTGTAAGACGTTTGCCTCGTGACATCGGAGATACGAAGAGCGTGCATCTACCTTCTTTCTTTTCATTGTAGAATACGGAACACCATAATCCGCGACGGATACTGAGCATTCACTCTATTGCCAAACCATGACAAAAAAAAACAGATTGAAGTAGACAAATTTGAATTTCAATCGGAAGATGCTCGTCTATCATAAGTGTAAGTATGAACAGAGGCGTGAAATGACATTACCATAAAGTAATAAATTTTACATGAGAATTAGTATCGCGGCTAGTGATCGCATGCATTCACAAAACTCGTTATCTTCCAATTATCTTTGTTTCCTTCTGATGTTGCGATTAAATATGCCTTTTATTCACATGCTACTATGGAATTCTTGTCATTTGTGCAAATCGCTCAATATGATGAATGCGTCTCAAAAATTAAATAAACATGAGCTTGTTATTCGAGTATATATAAGAGCTGCATACGATTGCTATATACTTTTGGTCGATACGCGTTCCTGGTATACCACATTCAACAAGTGAACCAAGCCGAGCAACATGAAAACACATTCGGGTAAGTGTTGATGTTCAACGTCTGTCAAGTTCAACAGCTCTTCGGCTAGTGACTTTCTGCTTCAGTGTTTCCTATTGCGTTATGTTGTGGTTTTGAATTTGATTTTTCAGCGAAATGTTTCTCTTTTAAAGCAAGTATTTTATATTGATTTGTATCGAAAGCGGCTCGTTTTCTTTCAACGTCGCTTTTAATGGTGCCGGCGTACCTGTGTGACAGGGTGGCACACATTAATTCATCGTAGTCGTCATTTGTCTTTTGGGGTCGTTCTTGTCCAGTAAAGGGTATTATTATGATAAATGACATTACCTTTATTACTTACCAAAAAATAGACACATTGAATATACTATAATTAAGAAAATACACGCGGTTTCAAACAGCTACATAAAATCGACTAACTCATAAAATATTGCCAACAGTATCGAGTGTGTAAACAATCTGATATAGTATCTTTAAAGTTATCATTCATCAAAATATCTAGTTAAAAGGAAATATTTGAAATGCGTTTGTAGGAGCGCAAGTTAGATAAGTATGCATACAGTTCAAGTCACGGGATCATAGGGAAATTCTCGTGTTTTTTGTGACTTCAATGTGGGTATCATTTAGTATTATATACCTGACACGCGTTAGAACGCTTTCCGTGTTTTTTTAAATGCACTTAATGTCTATGTCACATTAAAGCATTCCCATAAATTTATATCGAAGTAATAATGTAGCGCGTGGCGGAAATATAATAACGCCACAAAACCGCGTGTGTGTTTTATTTATTTGTTTGTGTGTGGATGTGTTATTTTCTTGTTATATTACCCTTAACTACAATTACGGCTACAGGCTGGAATACCTGTATATACACATAAGATATACGCGTAGGTCATTGCGTCGCGTATACTTTGCCTTGTTCTCGCTCGCAATAACCTCATACTAACCCAATCCGCTCAGAAATTCTCGCACAATGCCCACAGTATAGTATCAAAAACTTTTGAACTACTAGTATTTGACAACATGTGTAGTAGATCAACATGTTTTATGAATTATTTTTTAACTAACTTCTGAGATAAAAGTTATAGCACAAATCTAAGAAAATATGATTTAGTCACCGTTGATTGAAACTGTTTCCCTAAATATAGGTACGTGTAAAAACATATTAAATATATATCATGTTGAAACCAACAATACAATTCCAATTCAACAATTTTTTCGTATTACATATTTCACGCCTACGTTTTCACGGTTAGCTTCAATCATATATATAGAGTCAGGTTATAACTGCATACAGTCGCGACATTCGGCAAATGTGCTATTGTAGAGAAACGTGAATGTTCATCGCAGTTATTGTAAAATGTCTTGAGATGCTGATTCTGTGTCATTTATCAGAGAGGTCACTTTCATCCTATTCAAGATAAAATTGTAACTAGGGAGGGGAGTCGTATATATTGAGTCATACATGGGCAGTTATGATTTTATTTTGATTCCTCTTAGTCTACCAAATTATCACAGTCTGGTTTGATGGCGACAGGAGAAGCAAGACACATATTTAATCATTAATTATCACATATAATATTTTCTATAACTTATTGAATGTGTAACTATGACAACATTCAACCCAAGCTGCGATTCCACTTGCGCATGCCCATCTGGTCACTGAATGCCAATGTTTGTTACGCGTTTTGTGGAGCTGTCTTTTTGCAACGGTTAGAACGGCTGCAGTATAAGCAAGACGTCTGCATACAGTGGTAAGGCGCTTTACCGTGGTCGTCAGTTTGAATGTCGCGCTGATATATTCGTAGTATGCCAACACTTATATATAAAAGACGAGATTGCTAATGTAATCTGGAAGACATTATAGCCGATTAACATTTATGCCTATGAAATTGTTCTTGACTGAAACGTTCCTAGTTAGCGTTGCAAGTCAGATTGGTTTAGTTCACGATCTTGTCGAAATAACTACGGATACACACACCAAGACATCAAAGTCGATTTTGTAGCTCGTTTTTTCCTAAAATAAGCGAGGGTTTCAAGTATGTAGTGTGAACACCCTGCAAAAGCTATAACTAATAAATTGAGGTAATGAGATGACTTTATAAAGCATCCGATGCCTGATGTTTAGTTCTAAACATAGATATATGCTTTTGAAAAATTGAATATATTTCTTACCTGGTGGATAGTCACATTGTACACATATGGCACGTCAAATAACTGAACCTTATCAAAATTTTAAAACCCAAGATTAATAGGGAAGACTTTCCGCCTCACATTCACGCAATGTCCTGACCGATGTGTCCATTTTTTGTAAATTCGTCCGACTTTTTTTCTACCTAGTATTTTAATGATATTTATCGTGCTTGAAGAAACCTTGTTTTGTGACAATTTTGGTTTCAATAATCAAGACATGTTCGCTCTGTCACTGCCTTGCTTGTCGCTATTGCAAAGTTGGGCAATATATACCAGGCGTACTCAATTTGATGGGAGATCCAGTCAGAAGCCCACATTTGTCTTCAATGTTGTGAAACCGTAAAACAACGTACTGGGTACTAAACACGACATATTTGACATATCATTAAATCACAATTCACTAATGATTATAAAACTTGTTGACCACTGATACGATTTGTTGTAAATTTAGGAGAAAATATGCAAATCTAAGCTTTACTTTGAAAGCATATGATAAGAAAAGATAGACAAACAAACATGCATATCATCTGAGCCACCCCAAAGATAAACTTTTGTTTTTTTTCAAATAAAACTACAAGACAAAATTTTAATATTTTGATTATCCGCGGTGGTCTAAATACACGTGAAAATAAAGAAAAAAATATTGCCCCATTCTTGCTACCTAAATTTCTTGCACAAATAATGACATTTAGACAATCGTGTTCTGCTTCCCAGTTACCTGAAACATATATCGCCATGGTTACGTGTTAAGTAAATTTTAGAATGTTCGAATCAACAAAATAATCTGTAGTTTACCTCCAGTGAGGCTACCTTACGGGACACACTCGGGCGTATCTCGTGAGTTACATTATATTTATTTCACAGAAAAAGTAAAAAATGTAATCTTTTCTTGTAGTTGGCGTTTTATTCATTGGTTTAATCCTCGTTCAACTCATCTCAGTAAACAACGCATCATGTCGGAACCGTTGGAAGGTACTGAGCATGGCGTCTTGCAAACGATCCGAAATTCAGCCCACATTCAAGGAATATGTAGCGGAATTTCGTATATTCGATTTGAACGAAGATGGTGTTATTACTGATAACGAAGTACAGAGGCTTGTGGAGTTTCTCCAGTCCGCTGATCTCAACGGTGAGTGATAAAAAGACATTCGCAAATGTATGCGTCAATATCTCCTCGAGCTAACGATGGCATTGTCGGCTGTATAGATACTGGTATTACTCTTCAAACTAGCATTATTGAAAGTGATTAGAACTTTAAATTATTCTCATCACGTACGCCAACTGTATCTTCTATTTTAATTAGCATAACCCTCCCAGTTCATGCCTTCCGTCGATTACTATCATCTAAGTCACCTTCCACTTGTTTATTTCATTCATTTCATTCACTGAATAGATTGACAAGGATCGTGACCTGCCCACAAAAGTGTGCGTCACTCGATAGCTGTAAACGACCATTAGGCGGACGTTCCAAAGAAAAGTATTTCCAAGGCTTATTCTTTGCTTCGTTCTCAATGGCGCATATAAAAGGGTAAAGTTTTTCTGACTCGATTTTGTTTTCGTTTTCTTTTGTAGGCGATGGAAAGGTGAGTCTCAGCGAATACATCAAGGATGGCGAGAGTTCAGAAGAAGACCAGCTCAACGTGTAACGGCAACTATTCGTCTCATTACAACAGGGGATGAGTGACAATTAGGAGTAATTAGAAAAGTGTGCGCTGACCAAATCATAATGCGTTTTCAAGGACCTAGTGTGTGTACATGTGTTGAACTCTAAAGAAATGTGGCGTGAGAAATATGTTTTTTTTTCAACATCTGAGGATAGTTTTTGAATCGCATCTAGCTTATGACTTATTTTTTAGGATATTTCCATTTATTCATAACGTCATCACGTGTTTAGACTACGACAAAGCAATTACGTTTATTTTATTATGATTGTGACAACTATTATATTCATGTCATTCTGTCGAATTTGTAAATAAATCCGTGTACTTTGCAACAGACTCTCGTTGATTTGGTGTAATAAATATTCAGCATATTATAGTGTGTGTTGAATAGCTTGGCTTCCCGGAGCCATACATTCTGTCGGAATGTCGCATATTCTATGTATTTAAATAATGTTGCGTTTTTTTGTGTTATAGTTAATTATGAATTCAAAATGTAATTGTTGGTTTATTATTTCTTCCTGTGTAGGCTGTATTTCTCGGCTAGATACCTGACTGATAAGCAATTGTCAAGGTAGCGACGATACATTAACGAGACAAGTGGCAATAATTGCTAATCACATGATACATTCATGCGTTACAACTATATATTTACCCATAATACAGTGCAATTAGGCGGGATATATAAGTTCCTGGTTAGACACATCACAATTAAGTCCATTAGAGATTGTTTTCTAGTAAACGTCGGAGCATTTTCATGAAAGGCAATTGTCCATAATGCGTTGTATTTTGGAACTGTGTCACATTCGCCGAGCAATAATTGAGAACGACATCACGTGAAAGTTACATTAGAAGGGAGACAGAGAAATCGTTTTTGGGCTCTAGAAAGTGTTACATTTGTAAACCGTGTCACGCGAAACGTGTTATTTTTTTTTCATTTAACCCATATCTCCATATATCAGTGATTATCTCCATACTATGTAATGACAATTCAGGCAATCTGATTGGTCCGTGCAAACATATTGACTTTTTTTAAATCATGGCATACTATCGCAAAAAAGCTAATATTCCGAGACATGTGTGCTTTCAATAGTGCTTAATAATTATTATTAAAAAATTATGTTCATCGGAATATTTCTGGTAGATTGTGAGACCAAAATTCAGCTTCTCCAAACCTCAACTTCTCCACGCACAGAATTTTGTTCCATCGACGTCTAGTGGCAATTCGCCGCGTATTATGCTACAAATGCACCCCTCCCAAATTGTAAATATTGTGATGACTCCGAAAAAATCATTGCTTCTAGGGTAACCCGGCTGTAATCGGCGTTGATGTACGGCGATATTATATGCAAATGAGCCAGAACGCCCTAAGATCTTAAAGACGCGCTCACAAACTAAGATCTCTGTGTTAGCTTTTAAAGCGGGAGGGTCGTCACCCGCGCACGCGCGAGAATTGAGTCCCAAGCGATGATAACAACACACGCTAAGAACGCAAAGGTTCATAGATAGATGCTTGTTTGTAAACAATGAAAAGCTCTGGCCACTTGACGCATGCGTAGGTGACGACTTCCAAACTTTAACTTTTGGAGACTGCAAAATTGTTACACGGGATAAACATGATATCACATTTAGTGACCCTAGAATGTCAGATTTTATTGATCGCATGTAGTTATTTTTATTTGTTTTTTCTCGAACCTGATATTGTAGTGTCATTCATGTAATATCCTCTACATACATGTATCTTTTACTTGTACTGTGGTGTACATGTATATCTTTTGTTTTTGGTCGTTCTGTTGTCAATTATTTTAAAGATTGTCATATCATTTTGTGTTCTCAGGCTTGTAAATTCGCTTTATTTCTACTTTCGAGATCGACTTTTGCACTAAACGCAGTTTGGAGATGGTATTTTGAATACAGTGGATGTGGTGTTGTTGGGGAGCCTGTCATCCAGCAGTCGTTGGACACATGTCTTGGTGACTAATTCGTATCTTCTGTTTCTTGTGTATTGTGTGTATGTTTTTAGTTTTTAATTACAGTCACATTTATGCGAAAATTACAATATTTGCAAACCGGGTCACGTGACGGTGGTATAATTTTGCACAGAGAGATATTATATAAATATCAACCCCGGCCAAGGCGAAGCGCGGCTTGGGTCAATACTAGCAATATTATACCGAATACAACTACTAAAATTATTTTGAAACAGTGTGTCACGACTGTAAATAAACGATTGTGATTGGATAGAGGATAGTTTTAATTTATGCAAGCCAATCTAATATACCTGATATACCAAGGTTATCCGTTTTTAGAAGTAGGCTCCAAACGTGAATATAACACGAACAACGTAATGTTAAATCCTCTGTCAACTGAAATCGACAAAACCAACATTTTGCGCTACCAGCATAGCACGTAGTGAAGCATGTTTTTGTGTACCTTTAATATGAACTTTGTATAATGTGCAAGGATAATATACCAACGCTATAGGCAGAGTAAACCGTTCGATGTTGGTCATTTCACTCGATATACACATTCGTTATGCCTATTTCATGAAACGGGTTCAAATCTCGTGCTATACTCGCATCTGTGGTGGTTACTCCTTAACGTTATAAAAGATTCGCCCCAGTTTCCAGTGACAACACCAGAATTGCTTTCTTTTACATGTAGCGGTTTCAAAACACTTCAAATGGTTCGTATGTATTATTAACATGAGTATCCTTTCAAAAATTACTGTCACACTATAAACTAAACGTCGATATACGACGTCAACAAATTCTGAAATGCTTTGTGAAATCCGTCTAACCATTTTCGGATCTGCATTTAGTGGATTTGAATGTTTGCCTTCATAACCCAGACCTGCGTTCAATGCATTTGAGTGTATCAATACTGTGAATCCAATATTGGTTTTACGGTGATATTATCAGTACAGTCAGGTTTTTCAATCACTATTGGTCTCTAACTCGGGTGCCGCAGGGTATTTACAATTTATGTACGTGATAAGTGCAATATTTGGTAGATGGAACTTATGTCACGTAAACGACGCTTGGATTCGAAATTGAAGGAGTATCGACTTATTCTGTCAGTCAGTGCGAGTCGTGTCGTATGTGGAAGGTATTGGCCATGTAAGCCACTAGCGAAAGGAATGGGATAAAACAAAGCTAATACAATGTGAATGTGGGGGTTTCCGTGGAATCTATATCGTTGTCTATTTTCTATTTCTTACAAGTTGTCGACGTGATTTCCAGCGCATGGCTTCGTGTCTGCAATTGAATGATCCAAAGATAATATTTAACAAAAGTAATCAGTAAGTGTGAGAGTGTGGTGAAATCGCAATTGCGCATGTACTTCGAATTAATGGTACGTATATTTAATTCAAAGCGCATACCTCCACGTACTCCCACCACTTTAAATTGTAATTTAACTGTTTCTCATTCATTGGTAACCTGTGACCTCTCTTGTTCTCACCTGTTTCATTTGTTTAGTTAGTCTGGATTGCTTGCGTGTATATTTGGATCCAGAGTTAGCGGGACCAGCGCAATATAAACATGACCTTGATAATGGGATTGTGTTTTTTCAGAGTGTTCAAATAATAGAAGCTGACATTTTCGGACTAACGTTATGTAATTGAAACACAAGCCACAGGTATTAGATGGCTTACAAAAGAGGCTATAGTTAATATGGGCAAATGATTTGCTTGAGCGGTTGGTAAATTTATGGAATTGATTTGAGTAAGGTGTTGAGTAGAGGAATGTTCAATAGGAAGAACATTGTTGAAATAGATAATGCTTTGGAAATGATTGGACTTCCATAATTAAATCTTGAGGCACATTGTAAATAACTGGCGAGAGGATGCTGAAAGCACTACTGTGCATTCAAGCATCCTCTCATTGAAAATAAACAAAGGTTATGCACATTTACATTATAATGAGGTAAATTAATGTTGTCAACAGAGTGTCATGATTAAATCTGGTATGATGTGCATGAAACGTCTCATGGTGCAATAGCGCATGAGTGTTGATGGAAGACCCAAATGATAGGTATCACCACCAACAACCAATTTGGCAATAGTCATATTGCCGAAAATATTATATCTTGTTGTCTGTATATATGAAGCAACAATGA